GAAGACAGTCAGGTTATTAAGTTTATATTGACTGGTATCTATTTTTTTCTGTTGGAAGACCATCAAAATGGAGGATGGATCAACATAGATACTTTGTAATACTGTCAGAAAATATCTCTGGGTCCGCTCCTGTTATTGACCATGTTACCTGTTGTGCAAGATTAAAATTCAGTGTTGACTGACAGTGCTATTATAAGCATTATTTATTATTGCATCAAAATTGACAAAATGACCTTTTTTGCATCTTTATTTTCTGTTTTTTGTCTGTACATTTGACAGCTTTGCTGCCTTGTTTATTTATTCTTAGTATGCCAGCTCTACAGCAAACTGAAGGTAGATCCAGATGTAGCAAAAGTAAGTAAAAAAACTGAAATGCCATCATTATTGGAATCGATACTGATAAATCATTTGCTGTTAAAATGTTTTCATTTATTTGATAGTTATTTAAAACCCTATTATCACATTCTTTCGCCTTTGGAAAGTACTTGGTAAACACGCATTGACTCCATGTCTGATCTCTCTTTTCAGATCTCTTCAAAACTTTAATAGCTGACTCGGTGGTTGTTCTTATATCTTTTTGCTTTATTGCTTTTTAGATTGTTACTGTATTGCCAATTTATTTTCTAGTATTGGGCTGAGAGAGCAGAGAGGCTATTCCCAAACCACGAAGCTATATTTCAACTTAAGGTTAGCATAGTATAAGGAAAAGCATAATCTGTTTTACCACAGTGACTGTGGATTTTCCATTAAACGCTGTTAATTTTTTTATGTATTATTAGCACACAATGTTTCATGAGTGGTAAATTTAAGATTGCTGTATTGTTTGAAATGAGGAAAACTGAATAGAATCAGTGTCTGAGGTAGGGGAATGGTGGAACAGTTTATAATACTGGTTTTTATTCAAGCACAGAGTTACTTACTTTTATTTATAATCAAATTCAATATTAGATTGTGGAAAAATAATTCTCTAAATATTTCAATTCTTTAAAACTATTTAGTATATTATATTTGGCAGGTGGTTCGTATTTGGCATGCAAGCGTGAACCAAAATCTGGGATAGCGCTAGCAATTTTTTTTGCTTAGCCAAATCACCACTTTTTTGTCAATTTGTTATCAAAATGGATATAATTTGACTAAAACAAGTCAAATCAAGCCCTTTTTGTTTAGCCAATTTAAGTCAGTTTTCAGCTAAATTGGTGAGTGTTAGTGCTACCCCAGAAAATATGGTGTTGTTATTAGAAGTTTTGATAAGTCTAACACTGAATTAACTCTTTGTGTTATTTAACAGGAGCAGATCCACATGACAAATGGCAATACAGCACATGACTTGGAGGATTTATTGGCAGAGGAACTTGTGAGTTTTTTTTTCCTATAAATGTGACTTGGGAATAGTGCATTCCACTGGATGGCTGACATAAAGCACATTTCAGTTCACTTGATGAGTTTTTGATAAATAAGTGAGAGTTGGCTTCCAAATTACACAAATTTTGTGGCAAGATGATGCATCTTCTGTATGTGCGAGTGTCTTGTGCTTCTCAAGTTGAATAAGTCTTACTTTCCCTCAAAATATGTTTTTTGGCTCAAGATTTTTAATTTTGTTGTGATTCTTACCAGTCATATTTGATATTTTACTTGATGCTCCTTATCACAGGCTAAACGTCCAACAGATGTTAAACTCCGCCTCAAACTTCTGAAGCTGTATCAGGGAAACTGGAGAATCAATGACGCCTACCAACACGCCATCTCGGCAGAGAAGACAGGGGCCTACAACAGCAGTTTGGAGTGGTATACTCACCTCGTGAACCTGTTCCAGGTATTTGTTCAGATTCAGTTTGGCAAATAAAAAATTCATTGGTTAAGATGGAGCAGAATGGTTGTTTCATCAATTTATTTGATTGTCACGTTAATTTTTGGTGAACTGTAATAAACAGTAAATGTTAAAGTTTCAAAACATATGAATTTGTTTTCAATATTTTTAGGCCTATAAAGAACAGGCTAATGTGGACGCCATGTTTTACGTCAACTACCTGAGCGCACTTAACAACCTTGTCACCCTCAGTATGGGACACAGAAATGTAGCTGATTGTGCAGAAGCTTTATATAGGTAGGCTATATATATATATGGAGAGGTGATGAATCTCTTAACCCTCCCACTCACACACACACACACACACACACACACACACACACACACACGTGCATGCATGTGCATGCACACACATACACACACACAATTTGGAGTTATTTTACCTGAATAGGATGGATATGATGAAGACCATTCCTCGTGTTTAATGAAGCCATGTATACAATACACAAAACATTAGATTTAGGTGATTGTAATTAATCCAGTTATTGCATAAAAGAGGCAAGTTGGATGAATGGAGAGAAAAATATCACAATATTTAATGCATTCTCTCATTTTTTATTGAGAGTATTTTGATTATCAACAGTAAATTTTAAACTTGATTTCTTCTCTCGACTCAGGTTTGACCAAGCTCTGTATGAGTGTACTGAAGCCAAAGTGACCAGCGATGATCTCCCAGTGTTCGAGACCGAGATGGAGGGTCAGTTGTTTTATCATACAGCAACATTGCTCCTGAAAAGATCTCAACAGGTAAGTGTTTAAGAACTGTACATGGTTCATTGTAGATTCATGATTCCAGATTTTTTTTTCTTTAGTTGGAATGTGAATGCCTTAAGACTAATTAGAATTTTTGCCCAGATTCATGATAAATTGAATGAAAATATTTCCTTTAGGCAATGTTTAATATTTGGGTAAAGTTTTACTAACTTAAAGCAAAATTTTGCCCAGTTGTACTATGTAGATCATTTTGCAATATACATATTTAACAAGACTACCCTTGCAAAGATGTTAACTTTGGTTACATGGAATAGTAACTGTTACTTTATGCTATTTTCAACACACACACACACACA